TTTTTTTTAATTTGATATGAGCATTCACATAAGTTTTATGTTCTTAAAAATGTGTCTGTGTGAGTGTGTGTGTGTGTATTTCGTGCACATGTGTGTGTGTTGTAAAGCAATTGTAAAGCGCATCCTAGACAAAATGAACCAAACGTTAAGAGCAGTGTTCCTTGGTTTACAGTTAGGATCTAATATTGTCATCAAAAATTGGGGCACGAGCAAGAGAAGCATTTAGTTATATAGTTCATATATGTATGTATATATATATATAGATGTATATAAACAAGTTCTCCGTGATGTGGAAGGAACTGTGTGTAAAATTGGTTGTTTATTTTTTTTGGAGTTTGATGAAAATGATTTTTGTTAAATTGTTTTTTTTTTCTCATTTTTGCATTTTTGTAAATTTTTTGTTGTTTTTGTTTCGTTTAGCGTGTTACATATTTTTGTTTTTGTAGGTATACATAGTCGTATATAAGTACTTAAAGTGTTTGCGGTTCTGGAAAAAAACTGCTTACATAATGATGTTGTTGTTGTTGTTATTTATTGGGTATATCTACGTGTGTGTGTGTTAGTTAGTTAGTAAAAATTCATAAGCGCCATTTGTCAGCTGATTTGTTCGATTTGCAGCGAAGTGGTTGTCGTTGTTGTTGTTGTTGTTGTTGTTGTTGTATCTAGAATGCCATGCTCGTACGCCTGCCACCCATGCCGCCCGGCCCGCCGGCTCCGCCCCCTAGACCGCCGCGCATGCCGCTGTGCGACACGCTGCGCCCCATGCGCGCCTCGCTGCCGCGACGCTCACGCGCCCGCCGCAGCAGATCCGAGGTGCTGGGCCGACGACTGCTGTTGCTGCTGGTCGAGCCGCGCCGGCGACAGGACACAATGTCCGAGGTGGAGGAGCGACGGATGCCCGCATTGACATCCTCGGCGGACGTTCGGCCAGCTGCCGCACCACCCGCACCAGCACCAGCACCACGAGCCCCACTGCCGGCTATCATGTAGGGCGACAGATAGTACGGCGACAGCGAGGAGCAGCCGGCATAGGGGTCCATTGAGGGCAGCAACAGGCTGCTGGAGTTGTGCCGCGGCGTGAACGGTGACTGCGAATAGTCGAGCAGCAGCTTCGCGGACTCCGGCTGGCCCTGCTCCTCCAGCGGATCGCCGTCGACGGCCTCGATGCGCAGATGCGGCGGAATGCGCCTGTTGGCCGGCCCCACTCCGGCCAGGCTGGCGCCGCCGCCGCCCAACGAGGCTGAGCGCGACTGCGCCTCCGTCCGGTGGCCAGCTGCGCCGCTGCCCCCCGCAGCGCCCGGGGTGCGCAGGCCGCTGTAGAGCGTCTTGATGTGAAAGTCGAAGGACTTGAAGTTGAGCAGGGAGCGTCGCTTCTGGCCCTTGGTCGAGCTCGCCTCCAGATGGTCGCCGGCTGCAGTCGGGATGTCATTGTTGTTGAGCGCATCGGGATGCTCCGGCACGCCACTTGATCCACTCGATGGCTCAGCTGCGGCTGCAATGGCTAGCTGCTGATAATGTTGCATTTGGTGCGGTTGCTGTTGCTGCTGCTGTTGTTGTTGCTGTTGTTGTTGCTGTTGTTGCTGCTGTTGTTGTTGTTGTTGTTGCTGTTGTTGTTGCTGCTGCACCTCGTGCTTGCTTATTGTTGTTGTCATAGTATTGCTACTTAGGCTAGTTTTACTGCTAATCACTTTCAAAAATTTATTATCATTATCTAAGGACTCCTTTCGTCACTGAATAACACAGAAACCCTGCTTGGCAGCCTCCTTGGCATCTGCCTCCTCAATGAACGCCTCCTCCTCGTGCTTGGGCGAATCGGCGCCGCAGGGCCCGCCGCCGCTCAGGCTAAGCGGACCCTGCGGGCAGGCTGATTGTCACCGAAGCGCCAGTGTCGATATCATTGGCGGTCGCACCGGCTTGTTCTCCAGTATCCGCTCCAATTCCAGCATCACGCTCGACGAGAGGCGCGGCAACAGCTGTATTGAATGCCACCATTAATATGCATACGTACGATGGGTCTAGCTGAGTGTCGACTCACCTGCAGCGATTGCAAGCTCTGATGCAACTGCTCCGCCGAGGTGGCGCCCAGCAGAAGGCACTGAACGGGCTCGTGCTTCAGCGACCAGGCGATCGACAGCTGGGTGGGACTGCAGCCGAGCTTCTCGGCCAGCGCGGCCAAGTCGCGCAGCCGGTCGCAGTGTCGGCGCCCCTCCTCGATGCGATCCTTGCCCCAGCTGCCCTGCGGCGACAATGCGGCCTGGACGAGAGGCAACATTTAGTGGGCTGCCACAACTGGCGGCGATTCCACTCTACTCACATTGCGATTGATCTCGTCCTCCGTCCACGAGAAGCTCTTCGTCTTGAACGAGCCCTTGGGCAGGAAGAGCTTGTCCCCGTTCTGTGTGTCACTCAGCGCCATCGACAAGGGGCCCCAGGCCATCAGGCCTACGCCGATCTTGTTATACATCTCGGGCAGATACAGCTCGCACTTCTCGCGACAGAACATGTGGTATTCCGATTGCTCGACAATCGGTGTGATGCAGTTAAACTGCCGGCAGTTGGTATAGGCCTCCATTATCTCCACCTGCGACCACCTGGCCGTGCCCCAATACATGGCCCAGCCCTGCTGGATGACATAGCTCATGGCGCGCACCACTTCTGCAAGTAAGGGTCAGCGATACAGATAGGCATAAATGTAGCTTGGCATTGGTAAAGGCTTCACATGGGAAAGGCATAAATATATAGACAAGATAGAGATGAGCAGTGATATATACACATATATACATACAATACGTAATAATACTATGCACTTGCAATAGGTATAAAACTGGGCATACAATTAGGTATAAATCAAAGTAAGTTGTATGCATGAAGAGCAATGTAATTAAATAGGTATAAAATAGGTATAGAGATATGCACAAAATTGGTATAAAATATGTATAAAATAGGCATAAATTAAATAAATAGCATGAAGGGAAATTTAATTAAATGAGCATAAAAATGGTATAAAGATAGGCATAAAATGATGTAAGATAGGTACAAAAATAGGCATAAATGGTATAAATAGCATGAAGAGAAATAGAATGAAAAAGGTATAAATGGGTATAAAGGTATGCACACAATTGGTATACAATATGTATAAAAATAGGCATAAATTATATATAAATAGCATAAAGGGAAATTTAATTAAATAGGCATAAAAATTATGTAAGATAGGTACAAAAATAGGCATAAATGGCATAAATAGCATGAAGAGAAATAGAATGAAAAGGGTATAAATAGGTATAAAGGTATGCACACAATTGGTATACAATATGTATAAAAATAGGCATAAATTATATAAATAGCATGAAGGGAAATTTAATTAAATAGGCATAAAAATGATGTAAGATAGGTACAAAAATAGGCATAAATGGCATAAATAGCATTAAGAGAAATTTAATTAGACATAGAACTAGGCATAAAATTGGTATAAAAAGGTACAAAAAAGGCATAAGTGATATCAATGGCATGAAGAGAAATATAATAAAATAGGTATAGAGATAGGCATAAAATAGGTATAAAATAGGCATAAATGCCATGAAGAGAAGTATAATTAGGCATAAAATAGCTATAAAATAGGCATATCTTAAATGGCATAAAAAGAAATATAATGAAATGAGTATAATAAAGGTATAGAGATAGGCATACAATTGGTATGATTTAGGTATAAAAATAGGCATAAATAGTAAAAATTGTTTTTGCTATACGTTGGCACAAATATAACAAATGAAGCTAAAATAATGATACGACATATTTCAAAAAGATGCACAGTAAAACGATGCAGTCATAAAAATAGGCATAGCTATCTCTATGCATAAGTTAAGATATAGAATAATATAAGCATATAGCATAATAAATATTGTATATAGGCATAAATAACAAATGTGGATCTTTACGGATAAAAAGGCATAAATATAGGCTAACAACTAACAGAGGTGCAGAGCTATACACCAAGACATAAATATACATAGTTAGGTATCGGTGTCAGTAGATTGTCATATAGAGATTGTCAGTGATAGAAAGAGATGTATATATATAAATGATATAATATAGAAACGTGTACATATTGAGATAAAATTTATATAAGAAATGTTTAGTTATTGAAGGAATATAACTTGCAGTTCTT